CGGGGGGGGAAAACGCGGGAGCCACAGATGGAGGGAGGGAGGTGAGCAGCATACGACAAGGAAACGAAAAACAGAACCAGTTGGAGGGAATGATGGTAAAAAACCACCATGGAATACATCATGAGCGCCTTTTGTCCTGGTCTGCACAGATTTCGAAAACGAGTAGCCGTTAGCGTGTTCCCTAAGCGCCGTGCGGAATCCCGCCCAAGAATGCGCAAGCCCAGCGCACGGCTTCGCTCCTCTACTCGCCAAATGTAAGGAGTGCCAACTGTATCATTCCGTCAGAACTGGAAAGATACAGGCTCTCGTCGCACAGTCACCAAATGTGAAAAGGACAAAACTATGGCGATGCTTCAGAGGATTCATTCTCAGGGCATACTCACACTAGGACGTATAATCCCTAAGCCCCCTTCCTCGCTTTTTCCCAAAAAAAAAAAAAAAAAAAAAGACCCGCCCCCCCCAAAAAAAAACGCTGTAGAGGGCCTGCTACACAGATTTGCGGCGGAGGTGACCGCGATCTTCGAAAATTGGCAAAATTTCGTTCACAAAAAGTTCTTGCACAATTTGTGGATGGCGCCAAGTACCAAATCCCCATTTCTCCAGACGGCCGCGACCTTGTCCCATCTGGAAAGGTACAGCAGTGGGACCAGCCAAGTACCAAATCCCCATTTCTCCAGACGGCAGCGACCTTGTCCCATCTGAAAAGGTACAGCAGTGGGACGTGAAACCATGCCCAAAACCTCAAATCGGACCTTCCCATTTGCGGATTTAGGGTCGGACCAAAAGACCCAAAATCCCAAAATTTGAGTCACTTTTCGGGTCACACTGGAGAGGCTCGCTACCCAAATGCCTCAAACCGTGACCCTTCTGTCAGCAGCCTGCAGGCCGCGGGCGGACCCTTTTTGAGACCACGAGGCTCGCCACACAGGCTGTAGAATGTCGAAAACTTTTGACAGATGTCAGAAAATTTTCGACAGTCAGGCGGTCGACAATTTCGCCCCCCTTCGCCACATAGCCTGTCGAGGGGCGAGGTTGTCGAAAGATTGCCAAGTCGACTCAGCCTTTCAACAGGTGCTGTGTGGCGAAGGCGGTCGCCTGTCGAGAGTTGTTACATGGATGAATTTGTGCGCGCAAGCGGACCAGATGTCGACGCCGTTTTCGACACACTGTTGACTACATACGGACAAACAGGCCACGGCTGTCAGGGAGCAGTCCCTGACAACGGAAAATCGGGGGCGTTTTTCGAAAGGCGGGCGGGCCACTGTCGAATTTCCGTCACCTGCAGGCTGGAGGAAAAGGTTGCTGGAGGGCGGCTGTCGAAAGTGCCATCCTGACACCTGTCGAAAGTGTTTTTGAGCGGCAATTCTTCGAAAGTCTGTGTGGCGATGCAAAATTGTCGAAAACCGGGACAGCCTGTGTGGCGAGCCTCCACCTCCGGAGGTCGTCTCAAATTACCTTTCGTTTTTTTTCTTTCTATTTTCGCGAATTGAACAGAATCGTAGACGAAGAAGACAGCCCGCCAAACAACTGAAATTGCGACCAGGAACATTTACGTTGTAGATAAGGCCCAAGCGTTATACTAGCGTGAAAAAAAATAAATTAAAACACTCCATCTTTTCGTTTGGTCCTCCCCCGTGTGACCGGGCTCACTTGCCCTGAATGCAAAGTGTCAGGGTGCAACTTCGTCCTTTCTGGACGAGGTCCGCCCGTGTGACAAGGCGGGGACCAAATGCCTAAAAAAAGCCGAACCAAATGCCTCAAAAATTTCAGACTTTTGGTCCCCGTGTGAGTATGCCCTCACTTTGCACATTTGGTGAGGTGTGCAGTGAGGCCCACACTCTCCATTTCCATCATCCTGCGACTGCAGGATCAAGGCCAATAGTCACACACTACCGCCAAGGGCGTCGCCGCATCACTCACGAAATGTGAGAGACAAAATCTATACTCTATAGTGTGCGTGCATCGCTCCACTACTCTCTACATGCACAAAGGACAAAATTCACAGTGGTGTATTTTTCCATATTCTAGCTGAAAATTCACTCTCGTTTTGCACATTTCGAGAGTGAGCAGTGGAGAGAGACCCTATGTTTCCCCAAAGGGTAGGATTCATTCAGGGCATATGCATTTCTGTGGAGTCATGTAGATAGATCGAACATGTTGCCCAGAACGGTGTTCTGCTGCTGGCTACTTTGTTGAGCACTTGCGTCATCATTTGAGGTCCCATTGTGGAATTGTGGATTGCTTGCCAACCCCCTCCTCTCAGTTTTGGACTCGGTGGAGAGAGCTGGCTTACAGTACTCCCATCTGAGTGGGGCGATTTGTGGTCATACAAACCCATGTTGCTTACTTCTGTGCCTATGTCTCCTTGCCCAGCTTATATGTTTATGAGGCCCTTTTTTTTCCATCAGAAAAAGCCACTGTGCTCGTGCTGTTATTCTTGGAACATTTGGGAACAGCGCAGCAAAGGTCGGGTGAGAAATGAGATTCCAGATTCCAGGATCTACAAGAATTTGATGTACTCAAGGGACGCTGGACCCGGTTTCCAGCAGGTGATGCTCCCCACCAATAGATGGAGCGGCCCACCAGACAAAGCCTCAATCCCCGTGGTTCTCCTACCACCACTGGGATAGAGGCCTTGCACAAGGGCCTTATTTCAACAAAAAAAAAGAAAAAGGTCGCTGTGCTTCAAGAGCTTAGGCATGTAATTGTTTCTCCACTGGTGGAGGAGAGTTTGGCTTTTTTTTTTTTTTTTTTTTTTTTTTTTAGCTGGCATTGAATGGTGTTGAGAAAGAATTGGGCAGCTTGCCCCTCCGTGGTGGTGATTCATGGCATGGGGGCCAGAATTTATTTTGCACCAATTTTGTTGAATGTGTGTCAGCTGGTTGCTGCGTTCCCTTGATGGCGTTGTGTGCTATGGTAGTCCATCCCAGGGTGAAATTGAAGAGCCTAGAACCCCCCTGCAGGCCAAGCCTTGCTGAAACGCGGGCATGGTGTTTTTTCCTTCTTTTGGTTGGCGCCGACAGCCATTTTGGTCCTGTAGCACTGATTCTCAACTTGGCTGGGGCCATGGCTTTTGCTTCTGGCTAAAATCTATTTGGGACGTCCAGTTGATGTAGCTCAGTGGTTAGAGCACCGGTTGGAAATGCGCATTGTGGTATGAGGTTGCGGGTTCAAAACTCTGCGGCCTTGCGCATGGACACCGGCAAGGCGTTAGAATGACGCACGGCTGGACACACTCCCCTGGGCTGACGCAGGTTAGCTATTACAGACACTGCTTGCGCACCACTATGTTGGGTTTGGGCTGTGGGATGTTTGCCTGATGCTCTTGGTTCTAGTGGCTCTTTGCGGGCTTGCATACTTGAGGATGATTGTTCATTTGCCTTCCAGTCCAATATTGCGTACAAATCGTTCAGTTTCCATAGTAGCTCAATAGGTTCGATAGAAGATTGCATGGACGAGGTCGTGTGTTCAAACACGCTTGCCTAGTGGGAGGCAGGACCAAGAGACCTACACACCGCCCATAGACTCAGGAACGGTTGATGAGAGTGAGACTTAGTACAGTCTATGGCCGGTGCTGGCAGAGCTCTTGTGTCGTTGGGGCTCTCTACAGGATTGGTTGGGTTGTCTGCCTCCTATGTTCGGTTCACTATCAACAAATTTAAAACTTGTAGTAATGACAACAGTGTGCACAGCGGACAACCTAACAACAAACAACAGTAACAACAGTTGTGACGGACCCGCCGGGATGGCGGTCCGTCAGGATCAAGACGAAGGGATGAGGATGGGGGAGATGGAGATGGAGCTGGAAGGGACAGCGCAGCTCCAAMGCWGACTCAAYATGCACGTACTCCAATCTGTGCAAATGAAGAATGCCACAAAACAGACTGCAGCTGGGGTATACCCCCAGCGGACTGACTGGACTGGACTGGACTGGACTGGTACCGACAGTGGTACCGGGCAGGACTGGACTGGACTGGACTGGCCTGGTACCGACAGTGGTACCGGGCAGGACTGGACTGGACTGAATAACCGCACGGCCTGTGGGGTCAGGCCACGGCCTGGTCCCACAGGCCGGACTGGCAAATAGCCAAATAGGCCCTGGCTGTGGGCCAGGGCAGATGAAGGCCCGCTGCACGATCCTMAAACCTGTAATGGATCGCAAGAGCCATAAACACGCTATCCGCAAAAGCAGCRGAACTCTGCAATAAAGAAAGCTGAGAAATCTAGGATGCGGAGCAAGCTCCAYGCAGAGTCCATGCGATGCATCCTAAGCTATATAATGTCAAAAGAAAARCAAATGTCTGGTATACATATCCTAGCTAACAGCAGAAAATGAAATGTAGTATGATACACTTCTAAAGTCCTGGAGGCAATGGCCTCAGTGCTGAAAGGAGAAGAGCAATATGTCACAAGATAATGTCATGTCGCTGAACCACTAAAAGTGGGATGGTCTCAGAGGGGGTGAATGCAGCCTAAGAATCGAAACTCCTAAGGGCAGTCACACATGAAGGTGGGATAGGTCATCAGGCTCAAGGTGGGAGAGTGGTAGCGAAACAAAACCAATGACCCTAACAGATAGACCATCAAGGCGGGTAATGCTCGAAAAGGGTGACACCATGCAGSGTCGACCATGAAAAGGGGGARCSTGGAATAGGGTGGAGATATGCCTAACTGAAGGCATGCAAGGGCCGGCACTAGGGTGATGAGGGCAGTGGGTGAGGGAAACATGCACACAACTCACCGACTGGGGGAGGAAGGAGCTAGATCTGGGAGCAGGGAAGCCAAGATAACGCTACGGTCCCAATGCCTATGCGATATCAAGGGAGAGCCCAACTCAAAGAGACCCAGCTAAGTGAGAACCATCATGCGACAGATGCAAGGGAATGTACAGGGTAGGGTGGTGGCGTGAAGTAGTCACGTCCAAAGTAGCTGAAGCCGATAAGGTAGCTGAAGTCGTCGAATCGGTCGATGACGTCGATGAAGTAGCAGTCGAGTCGATGTCGAAGCAGAGCCGCAAAACGCTGACATCCTGAAGAAGAGCTGATGATGGAGTACCTGATGGTGTGAGTCAGTGGGGAAAGATGGAGGATAAGAGTTTCAGTCATCGTAACGTGAAGGGCGACGATGAGTGCGCTGTGGACGCTCGGAGGCGACCATCTGCGGCTGAGGAACGGCCTCAGAGGGAGCAGGCTCATCCTCAGCGATCTCCTCAGCCAGAGGAGGAGGAAGAGGGTCAGTTGGCTGAGTAGAAGCAAATGTCCCAGCACGACGAGCACGATCATATGCACGCACCAACATCCTGGCGTGCTGCAAGTGCTCGAGGGGCTCCCAAGTAGCCTCCTCATCAGGGTAGCCCTTCCAACGCACAAGGTACTCGATGCGTGGAGGGRTATCGTCGGTAACTCGGYGTGATACGATGTCGGAAACAACGAACTCCTCGTGACCGTCCACCATGATAGGTGGAGGGCGCTCATAAGGGCGTCCGGCGAAGCGCTCGGACGGTCTGCGATAAGGACGCAGCAAGGAGACGTGGTAAACATCGTGTACGCGAGTCTGTCGAAGGTAATCAGGTAGCTTCACACGGAAGCTGACCGGACTAGCGGCAGTATCAGAGCCGACGGCCTGAAGGATGCGGCATGGACCAAAGAAACGACGCCCGAACTTGCGAAGCATATCTGCTTCGAGATGTAAGTGGCGTGCGTCGACGAGCACATCGTCACCGACTTTGAATGGATGATTCATTCGTGATTGGTTCGCTCGTGCGGCCATGCGAGTCTGGGAGTCGGCTAAACTCTCGTGTGTGCGCTTCATAATCGCCGTCATGTGGGCGATCCAGTCGTCAAGCGCAGGGCAACGAGTGTCTGGGCGCAACCGCGATGGTCGTAGGAAATCCGCAGGTACGCGAGGGTGGTAGCCGAGGTCGCAATACAATGGCGACATCCCCGTGGCTGGTGAAACAGCGTGGTTGTACGCAATCTCCGCGTGGGCTAAGTGTAAGTCCCACTGCAGGTCATCCCTAACAAACTTTCGGAGGATATTACCGAGAGTTTTGTTGGTGACCTCAGTCTGACCATCCGTCTGAGGGTGGTCAGACGATGAGAAGCGGAGCTGGGATCCGTACACCTCGTGTAGGCGTCGCCAGAATGTGTTGGTAAAGCGCGGGTCACGGTCGGAGATGATGCTCTAAGGTAAGCCGTGATCTCTCACGACTCGGTCGAAGACGATGTCGGCGACCTCACGAGCGCTAATGCGATAGCGACACGGAACAAAACGTGCACGCTTCGTGAAGCGATCGTCGGCGACCAAGATAGCATCATGACCTCGCTGAGTGGGTGGGCGGAGGGGACCAATGAAATCCATCGAGATAGACTGCCAACGACCTTCAGGTATGGGTAGGGGCTGAAGTAACCCATACGGAAGGTGGTTCGCACTGTTCACCTCCTGGCAGGTAGGACACTCCTGGATGTAGGCTTTGACAAAGTCCTTGGACTTCGGCCAGACGTATAAGCGGCAAACACGAGCCAACGTCTTGTGGAAACCCATATGACCGGCAGCTTCCTGGTCATGGAACTCTGCTACAGCCTGGACGCGAAGCTGTCCGGTGGAGGGAACGCAGATATGTGGTTCTAACTGACCAGATCTGCCATGCCAGTACACGAGGCCGTTCTCCCCGAGGGAGTAGGAAGGAACGGTCTTGCCACTTCGCAGTGTCGCGTGGATGACGCGATAATCGGGGCAGTGGCGGTACTGAGTGCGATACGCGTCGATCACCGACTGATCAACACTCGTGATGGAGATGGCAGCAAGATGGATGGGTTCCTGATTGTGATCAGGACGGCGGGACAAGGCATCGGCGACGCGGTTCGTTTCACCCTTGATGGGCCGAGTGGTGAAACTGAACTCGAATAAGTCACGCCACCAGCGTGCTTATCGAGGGGAAAGCTTAGGCTTCGTGAGGAAAGTCTGGACAATTGAGTTGTCCGTGCGCACCGTGAAGGGCGCCCCGTGCAGATAATGACGCCAATGCCGGGTAACATAAACTACTGCGAGAACCTCACGTTCATCGGCAGTGTAGTTTATCTCGGCAGGTAGTAGCTGACGGGAGTAGAAAGCGATCGGGCAATCCCCAGCACGAGCCTCGACCGTCCCATCCTCCGCGATGGTCGGGGATAAGTAATGGGAGGACTGTCAGTGGAGGGAAGTGGTGGTAGGATAGGCGCCAGTCGAGAAGCAGTGTCAGCAGGAGGGGGGGGGGAAAGGAGGAACATGGGGGTAACGTGAATCTGGAGGAGAGGGAAACACCTGAGAAAGGACAACTCCTACTGCAAAATCTGACGCATCGGTGGTGACGATAAAGGGACGATCAAAATCGGGAAGGCGAAGAACCGGCGCGCAAGTCACCGTTTTCTTGAGGGCGCGGAAGGCGTCCTCGCAGAGGGGTGTCCAAAACCACGGCGGGTTCTTTCGGAGGAGGGTGGAGGTAAGGACGTAGGAATACCTAGCGTATCACTGGATAAAATTACTATAGTAGATGGTGAGGCCTAGAAAGCTGCGCAGCTGCTTGGCAGATGTGGGGACGGGCCACTCTGCAATAGCAGTGATCTTCGCGTCGTCCATGTGGAGACCCTGGTCAGACACATGGTGTCCTAGGAAGTCCACGTTGCGCTGGGCAAAGCGGCACTTGCTGAGCTTGGCATAGAAGCTATGCTTGCGTAAGCGCTGTAGGACATCGCGAAGGTGTCTCATATGGTCTTCTAAGGTACGACTGTAGACTAGGATGTCGTCCAGGTATACGAGATCGTATTCTTCAAGGATGTCCCTGAAGATGTCGTTCATCGCCGTCTGGAAGGTGGCGGGTGCATTGGTGAGGCCGAATGGCATCACCGTGAACTCATAGTGGCCGAAGCGCGACCGGACGACGGTCTTCGGCTGGTCCTCTGCGGCAACGCGGATCTGGTGGTAACCGCTACGAAGATCGATCTTCGTGAAGAAGCGGTTGCCTGCCAGACGGTCAAACAGCTCATCCGCGCGGGGCATGGGATAGTTGTTCTTAACCGTGTAACGGTTAAGGCCGCGATAATCGATGCAGAGGTGGAGAGTACCGTCCGCTTTGCGAGCAAAGAGGACAGGTGCACCCCAAGGGGAGTTACTAGGTTTAATGAAACCAAGTCGAAGGAGCTCCTCAAGCTGACGCTTGAGTTCCATCGCCTTTGGAATCGAGAGTCGGTATGGTGCCTGATGGTGAACACGATAGTCAGGCACGAGCTGGATGGAATGCTAGACACCGCGCATCGGGGGAATCCCGCTGTATGAGAAATACGGGGGGAAAACGTCGCGGTACTCCCGAATCAGGTCGCAAATGACGGGCTCTAAGACAGCCGTGAACCGCATGAGTTCCTCAACGTCTGCGTCGGCACGAGACGTATGGGTGGACTCGGCAGTGGACGGCGTAGGAACCTGGGATGTCGAGGGGGTATCCGCAGGCTGCGGGGTGGATGTAGAGATGGGAGCCGCGAAGATGGAGGAAGGGTCAGGGG